GCAGCGCGGCGCCCAGTCCGGCGCAGCTCCCGGCCGTGGACGCAGGACTCGGGCTCGCTCCTCGGGCGCGCTTGTTTTCCTGCTGCCGCCTCGCCCTGCGCAGCCCGGGCCCGCCGGTCCTCCTCGCTGCGCTCAGCCCCGCCCGCCATCCGTGCCCAGCGCTTGGATTTATGAATGGGGGGACGAGGCCACATGCCGCCGCCGCCTCCTCGTGTTGACCGCACGCAGCCCGGGCCCGCGGAGCTGCGGCTGCTGTGAGAGCGTCGGCCCGGCCCCGGCAGCCGCTTGGGAGGACTTGTTGCTGCCCCTCCGCCGCCGCCGTCGCCGCGGGGAACCGGCCGCTCCCCGGCTCGGCGCGGTGGGAGCCCCAGGGCGGCCCGCGTGAGTGCCAGCGCGCGCGCGCCGCCGACCCCCCGGACCGCTCCGGGACCGAGCACCTCTCCCATCTTCGGGGGGTTGGGGGGGGCGTGTCCCCGGCTGCGAGTGCCCTTAATCCCAACCCGGTGGTGGTGTGCCTTTGCGTGCCTCTACCTCCCCGGGGGGGGGGCCCTCGCCTGAGTCCTCGGCTCTCGTCTCCTCCCTCCTGCCTCCCTCCCCGGCGCTGCCTCCCCAAATCCCAACCACCTGTGCACCCGAGAAACCCAACTCCTCCCGCTCGGCGCCCCGGGGGGGGAGGGTGGGAGGCAGGGGCAGGGCCGCGCCGCAGAGGGGGCCGCCGCCGCCTCCGGCCTCCTCCTCCTCCACCTCCTCCTCCTGCTCTCCTCCCCCTCCCCGCCTGACGCTGCCTCCTCGGGAAGGGTGTTTGGAGGGCAGCGGCCGCCCCAAGCCGGAGCCCCGCAGCGCTTCTTATGATCAGCTCGGTGTGTGTCTCCTCCTACCGCGGGCGCAAGTCGGGGAACAAGCCTCCGTCCAAAACATGTCTGAAGGAGGAGATGGCCAAGGGCGAGGCGTCGGAGAAGATCATCATCAACGTGGGCGGCACGCGACATGAGACCTACCGCAGCACCCTGCGCACCCTGCCGGGCACCCGGCTGGCCTGGCTGGCCGATCCCGACGGCGGGGGCCGGCCCGACTCCGATGGCGGCGGTGCGGGCAGCAGCGGCAGCAGCGGCGGCGGCGGCGGCGGGGGCTGCGAGTTCTTCTTCGATCGGCACCCGGGCGTCTTCGCCTACGTGCTCAACTACTACCGCACCGGCAAGCTGCACTGCCCGGCCGACGTGTGCGGGCCGCTCTTCGAGGAGGAGCTCACCTTCTGGGGCATCGACGAGACCGACGTGGAGCCCTGCTGCTGGATGACCTACCGGCAGCACCGCGACGCCGAGGAGGCGCTCGACATCTTCGAGAGCCCGGACGGAGGTGGTGGCGGCGGCGGCGGCGCGGGGCCCAATGACGAAGCCGGCGATGAGGAGCGGGAGCTGGCCCTGCAGCGCTTGGGCCCCCACGAGGGAGGCGCGGGGCCCGGCTCTGGGTCCGGGGGCTGCCGTGGCTGGCAACCCCGCATGTGGGCGCTCTTTGAGGATCCCTACTCCTCCCGGGCGGCCAGGGTGAGTGGCAGGGCAGGAGCCCGGGTCTCTCTCTGTCTCTCTGTGTCTCTGTCTTTCTCCTAACCCCCCCCCTTGTCTCCAAGGGGTGCCTGGCAGTGCTGGAGTGGTGGGTAGGGGCAGGGAAGAGAGCGACTTAACACGGCAGGCCGTCCCTGCCTTCTTTCCAACTCCTTTCAGGGCCCTCTAGGGAATTGCACACTTCCCACCCTCCCTCTCCCCTGCACGCTCCATGAGGAGATTGCACACACTTGACTTACTACTTGGACTCAATCCCAGCTGCCTGCTCGGCCGCATCCCCCACCCCACCCCACTTCCAGTGAGTGGGGTGCCCTCAGTTTGGCTTTTCTAGCCCCTTTGATGTCCACACCCCATCTTCAGCTGCCCTCCCCGGGCCCATCGACCTGGAAAGGTGGAGTTTGGCCTCCTGCCAGGGTGAGCCACGGGCTAAAGGGCTAAAGGAAGGAAACTGGGGTGTGTGTGTTGGATGCTTCCATGTTGTGCCACCCCATTAACATCCTGCCCGCCGCTCTGCGTGCTGGCATTTATGCATTTCAGAGAGTAGGCCAGGCCTGGAGGCTTCCAGCACACCTGATCTAGCCTGGCATTTGCTGGGCTGGGGGGCATGTTAAGATTGGAAGGGCCTGGAACAGTAAGGCCCTTCAGGTTCCCAGGGCAGTGGCCAGCCACAGGCTTCCGGGTGGTGATACCAGATTTGTTGCAGCTCTTTTTCTTGCTGCTGCGCCTCACAGTGGCTTCCCAGAAAGCCCTGGTTCAGGTTACTGCTAGAAATGGGTGTATGGGGGGAGGGAGTATACAGGTTTAGGCAAAACCTGCTTTCTCCCCTATCCTCCCTAAATTAAGCTTCTCTTAAACCCTATAGGTGGAAGGGGTGGTGGAACAGGACAAAGTCGCTCACCTAGTTAGGTTCAGACCCTGAAGGGGGTTTTACATTCTTTAAAAAATAAAACTCCTCGTGGCTGTTGTATGACCTCACGGCCAGCTGTAGTTTAAAGCCCTGGCTGGAAAGAGCAATGTGACTTGTGTGGTCTGGGGACTGTTTCTTGCTGAGAAGCTAAAGCTGATGGGTACTGCTGGCATTCTAGGCTGTCTTGTTCATGAGCCTCAATGCTGCCAAAACACCTCTGGGCTGAACTTCATCCCAGTCAAAGAAGGAAAAGTTCCTCTTCCCCACCCAGGGTAGAGGGTAGAGGAGTCAAGAGAATGGGGCTCGACTGGCATAAATGCCGAACGAAGGCAGATGCATTACCTGCCTGGAAAAGAAGGGACAAGTGGAGGTCTCAGAGACCACAGCTAGCCAGGCTGAGACTACAGGTAGTTCTAGAACTAGAGGATAGGGATCTTTTTCTTTCCAGCTGAGACCAGTTCAGAAGGTGATGACCCTAGCAAACTACTTCTCATGCAGTTTGCTAACTCTCTTAGTGTTGGCTCTTGGCTGTTTGCACTAGGGGAGAGAGACACATGCAAACCATTGAGATTCTCAAAGCTGAGAAATAGAGAAGAGGTAGATTCAGCCTCACAGACATAGGGAAAGGGAGCAAGCCAAGAAGACAGGATAGCAGGTGGTTAGGGGAGTTAGGCTCAACTTCTGCCCATCCTGAGGTGTCTGGGCTGTTCACCTCTTGGTATCTTTCCTCTATGACTATAAGGGATTTTGCTACACATGAGATTATCCTTCCTCCCCTCCCTCCTCTCCTCCCTCCTTTCTTCCTTCTCTCCTTCCTTCCTTTTAGGTGCCAGTCCTGAGGCTTGAACTCAGGGCCTGGGCACTGTTCCTGAGCTTTTTTTGCTCAGGGGTAGTGCTCTATCACTTGAGCCACAGCTTCACTTCTGCCACAGCTCCACTTCCTGTTTTTGGTGGTCAATTGGAGATCAGAGTCTCTCAGACTTTCTTTTTTTTTTTTTTTGGCTAGGGCTGGCTTCAAACCACAATCCTAAGATCTGATCAGCCTCCTGAGTAGTTAGGATCACAGATATGAACTACCAACACTCAGTAAGAATAAAATTTTTAAATATTAATAAGTACTATTCATTGAGTGACCTGTGCAGGTATTTTACTGCACATACTTGATGCTAATCTCTACCCTCTATCAATTTAAGGTTATTGCCCCCACTGAACAGATTGAAGCTGTGAGCGGACAAATACTTGCCCTGAGATCACACCCTTAGATAGATCACAACCCTAGATAGTGGTTGAGCTCTCAAAGTCAGAGCTCCCTGATCTATAAGCTCTTGCCCTGTGATCAACATGTACTCACCTCAGGAGCAGAGCTATCTGCAGGATGGCAAAGTGGCTAGTTTCTTGCTGTGGCATGCATGAAGTTCTGAGGTTACCTCCTGTGGATGACATCAGAAAACTCAGTGGGGACATCAGAAGGGATTCTTCCAGGTCTGAGGGTACTGTGCTATGCTGGGAGCTCAGGAGCTATGCACACTCTCATTGCCCAAGCCATTAGCCCCAACATTGGTACACATACACATACCACCTTTTCCTTGGCTCTGTGTGCATACTTTCCTTCAATCACTATCTCCCTGGAAAGGATCTGCAGCCCCACAAGGCAGTGAACTTGGGATGTCCTCTAGGAGGGTGCATGAGGGCAGAGAAGTTTAATTCTGCCCCAAAGCATCTCTTTGCAAACCCCAGCAGGTCATTTGAGTAGTGCATTATGACAAGAGCAAAAGAGACACAGATGGAAAGTGAGCCGAGCTGATTAGGAGAGCCTGTTGCCTAGCTACCGACCTGGCCCATGGAGCTGTTACGTTCAGATGGACTCTTGGTCAGGTTGCTCACCTCTGTTCCATTCACTGTGGCCTGAGTTAGGAGCAGGTTGGTCCTGTCCCCATCTCTCCAGTGTTCTAAGCAGAATGAGTGGTCCCCAAGGTGACTTTACAGCCTAGGGTAGGGGACTAGAAAAGACTTGGCATAGCACCCAGAACTATAGAATCACACCTTCCTTTTCTGAGAGCAGACCAAGGCCTAATGAATGTGCCCTGGGATGTGATTCCTTCCATTTTCTAGAGGTCTCAGGCTGGATTAGCCTTAACTCTGCTCTTGGCTATGTTGGGGGTCATAGTCTTTCTCTTTTGGCTAAATCACTTTGTGGGATGGATTGTTTTCCCATGATGCCTCCCTTCTGAGTGAAGAAGGTGACCCACAGCATCCCCACGGCTCCTGAAGGGAGGGTGGTGAGGATTGTGTTTCTCCCTGTACAAACATCAGTGTGAGGATAGGCTTGCTCTCTGCTTCCTTTTGCTACCTCCTCACCCAGGGATAGCAGGGATTGTTAACTTCAGTTTAGATGAGGTCCAGAAAATCTTACCCCATGTGGCACAGTTGGGGCAACAAAGATCCAAACCCAAGTCTCGTGAGTCCCCATCTGTGCTCCTATACTGCCTTCTGTAGCTCCAGCACAGAGAGGGCCTCTGGCTTTAGTACAGCTCAGAGAGGCAGGCCATCCAGCCAGAGGGAGCTCCTTCCTGCTCCTCCCCCAAATCCCTTCCTTGGCCTCTCCTCCTAGAATTGTTTTGGTGTGAGGCCCCCTCTTTCCCACTTGGGGGACTTACATAAGAAAAAAAGAAGCAAGGTTTGGTTAGGAGTGAAGTTTCCCCTGGCCCTGGCAAAGGGACAAAAATAAGGTCTTCTAGGAAAGCAATGAAGAGCTTTGTTCCTGCCTACCTACTTCTGAAGGTCGTCTTGCTTTTCTGGATCTAGTTTTGCCTAGGGACCCACTGCTCAATGGCCACAATAAGCTGTACCCTCTGCGCTAGGGTGACTGGAAATCTGGGCCCAGGAGGGCAGTGGGGTGGGTTGTCTACCTCCTTCTTGAGAAGCAGAAGAGAGCCGGGCAAAAAGCTGTGGCTTCTCTGCAGATCCTGCCTCGGGCAGCCTCTTAGTTCCCTCCCGGTTTTCTTTGGTGTTTTTCCTTCTCATTTTGAACAGAATAACATTTGCCTCTGAACATCTTGGCTCTGGATGATGAGGTGTTTCTATTTGTCGCCATTTGGGTGGGGTGTGGAATGGAGGGATAAATTTGGGCTATTTTGGAGAGTAAGAAGAACAGGCAGGAGCAAGCAGGCAGCTGGGCCTTGGGAAAAGGAAGCTTCTTGTACCCTCCACCTCTGCCACAGACAATGTCAGCCTGTTTGGTGGTCATGGAACGTGTCTACCATCCTTGGTCCCTGCACATGAACAGTGTGCTATGACCCTGCCCCAGCTCCCTGTTGAGGTGTCCTTTAAGCTGTGGATGTCCTTTAAGGTGTCCTTTAAGCCCCCTGGCAGGGGCTCCATCAGGAAGTGGGTTTGGCTTACCTTGGTGAGCTGCAGAGTCCTAGGACCCTGTGTCTAGAGGTATTCTTGGGCATACCTTTGTCAACCCAGCCCTGGTCATTCAGGTTGATGATCTTCCTCTCAACAGCTCCCCACCCCTGACTGGAAAAGGAAGCTGAAATTTGCTTGACCTTCTCATCCAAAGGACTTTGCTGAGCACTTACTACATGACAGACACCAAGCTGGGTTCTAGAATGTAATGATGAGTCAGAGTTTTTGTTTTGTTTTGTTTTTGTCCTGGGGCTTGAACTCAGGGCCTAGGCATTGTCCTTGAGCTTTTTTGTTCACAGCTAGTGCTCTACCACTTTGAGCCACAGTGCCACTTCTGGTTTTCTGGTGGGAAATAAGAGTCTCATGGACTTTTCTGCCCAGGCTGGCTTTGAACCGTGATCCTTAGATGTTAGCCTCTTGAGTAGCTAGGATTACAGGCATGAGCCACTAGCACCTGGCAGAGGTATTCTTTACTGAGGACAGACAGGCAGATCAGGTGAAGTAGGTAGCAGCTGAAAGAAATTGGGTGATAGGAGATAAATGAAAGAAGCAGAATGCTCTTGGCTCATGCTTATAATCCTAGCTACTCAGGAGGCTGAGATATGAGGATTCAAGTTCAAAGCTAGATGAGGCAGAAAAGTCCATGAGACTCTTTATCTCCGAT